TTCCTTTCGATTACACGGGGTGTTTGCCCACGGCGTTTCGAGTCATATAGATTTCGCCTACATATTTCCATTCCCCCCGCCTTCTCAGCCCACCGGTACATGCAATGGAAATCTATCACCGCCAGAAGTATATTCACCACACCCGAGCAATCTCGCCGACAGTACGGACTTGGATTCGACGCTTTGGATACCATACAAAAGACGAAGCACGTTTCAATCAGCGCGCAATTTCTCACACGCACGCAAAGCCGCTGGCGATGGCTTCAAACGTCCCTGTGCCGCCGACCAACGGTGACGCTGTGGCCCCCGGGACTCGCGCTGGCGCTGAGCTCCCCAACAGCTCTACGACCAGCCCCCAATCCTATAAAGCCCCGCCTTCTGGTCAGACCCTGACCGGCAAGCAAGAGCACTGTACGCGACCGCCCCTCCGATAACTCGATGGCAGTCTGAACCCAGAAGAGACTAAAGAGCTAATGAGTTTGTTGTAGACCTCAAGCGCGAACTTATATCGGACCAGGTCAAGTTCGAAATCTCGGAACTGAACTCCCCAACCGCCCTCAAGCGTTTCGGTGCCCCCTTCAAATCCGATTACGGCGAGGTCTCGCCTCTCGAATCCGAGCTGCCAATCCTGCGTTACATATTCGTACACCATGTTCGCGACTTTCCTTTCCTCGACAAGGCGAGGGAAAAGGAGTTTTGGCAGGATAAGTTGCAAGTGGTTAGTGCTGGCACATTACCACCGTCCCACACTGGCGCGTACTGACGCTTCGCTCTCTGCAGTTCCTCGAGTCTTTCGCCATGAAGAACATATCCTCCTCCGAAGATCGCCTCGAAGAAACCAAGCGCCGCAAGCTGGCTCTGAAAAGCCAGAAACTCGTCGAGTTGATGATGGTGTCAGGAGTCAAGACTTCCTCAGGGTTCGAAGAGCGCATTCGATTTTCGGAAATTGAAGTTGTCGACAGCAACGCCATTGATACGGGTGTCATGCATACCTTACCGGAAGGAAACTACATCAATGGCTGGGATGTGAATGTTGCTGGTGTTCACATCACTCAGGTGAAGAAGACCATTAGACATCACAAGCATGCAGTAAGTCAAAGCCGTGTCTGCTGTTGACTGGCCGGGAGCTGATGAAGACAAAGGAATTCTTGCTGCGTATCAAAAGGAAGGGAGAGCTTGAGTTCTTCGTTGGCCGCCGCTATGGTGACTTCAGCAGGTTGTATAAGAGACTTCGGATTGAACTACCAGGCAAGGTTCTTCCTACATTGCCGAAGAAGAACAAGTCCGACACGACGACGAGTAGCATCTTCTCATCCATGACCAGCGGTAGCAAGGATGATGATGCATCGTCCTTTTCGTCAGTTTCCACTCAGATGACGAACCTCAAAGTGGGAGATGCCAGTGGCCAGAACCTTACGGTGCATGGTATGTACCTTCACCTTGCTCCATTTCATCTGTCATACTGACTTGTTGCGAAATAGGCCACCGGCGTCCTGGTTCCATTGCATCGACCGGACGTGGCTCACCGCGCACTTCGACCGACGATAGGACCAGGGCTCTGCTCGGCAAAAAGAGTGATACTGTCACTCTGTGGAGAGAATCACAGCGAGTCTCTTTGCGGGCATTCATCCGCTCCTTGCTCGCCAATCCTCAGATTGCCCAGACGAAGGCAATGGAAGATTTCCTGACCAAGGACCAAATCACGCCAACCGATGAAGATGTGGACGATATCATGCGTCGAAAGGCCCTTGATGAGCAACGCATGGAGGAGCAGAAGAAATTCTACGAAATCGCCAGGAAACGCGCGGCGGAACTTGACATCTACATGGAAGAGTAAGTCAACAAAAACAAAAACGTTCTGACCTCTGCTAACGAGACTTGTCAGATTCCGACGTGAGATCGTGGAGCGTAACGGTCTGACCACTCTCTTCAAAGAAATCAGGGAGAAGGAGACCATCGGCGACCTGAGCATTCAATACCGCAAGTTTGCCGAGTGGCTTAGGATCGAGATTGCGGCTACCATCTATCATCTCTTCCTCGCTGAGGACAATTCGCCCGAACTCTTCGCGCAGGCGAAGCGCATTCACTCACTCATTCCGTACACAGTCATGAAAAACGTCATCAGGATAGCGAACCCGGCGGCCGTTATGTCTGGTGTCTTGGATATCTTCCTGGCACAACCATTTGGTACCCGGTCGCTGATGCAGCGCATCTTTACGCTCACCTTGAACGACGGCATTCGAAGTTTCCAGAAGTCCATCGACAGTCTGGCTGCTAAGATTGGCGACCAGGTTCTGGTGGACAAGCTGAAGCGCTACACTGAGTCGGAAGAGCACATCAAGATTGCCATCCGTGAAGAGTCGGTTAACGAAGATATCGACCTCATCGTCGTCATCTTGCGATCTGAGTACCTGGAACCGCAGCTCACGTCCGAGCAGATCGGTCGGTTGTACAATGCCTACGTTGCCTTCAACAACGCGGTCGAGAATGTGGACGAGGAGCTTCGACAGGGTGCTCAGCTTTTCTCCTACCTGAAGCAGCTTCTGAAGCTATTCACACGCCAGCATGATAAGGCCAGGATGCTCCAGCTCATCGAAGAGCCCGTCACTCTTCAACTGTTCAGGGACCTGTTCACCATCTTTTACGAGCCGCTGGTCAGAGTCTACAAGTCTGCCAATGTGTACTCAAGTGTGACGGACTTTGCTGTATTCATTGATGATATGATACAGGTGAGAGAACCATTCTCCGGTGTAACGTCGGGTGGTGATGCTGACAAAATTTGCAGGTGGTTGAAAAGTGCCAGGAGCAGGACGCGTCGGCTGATCCCAACCAAACGGTTCAGGGCTTCATCGACCTCTGTGCACGCCACGAGCACAACTTTTACAAGTTTGTTCACGAAGTCCATACGCATGACAACGGTCTTTTCGACCAGCTCATGGGCTGGATTGAGGGCATTCTGGAGTTCCTCCGAACTGGACCCAAGAACGGAACCCTGAACATCAATGCGCTATTCGAGGGCGGTGTCTCCGCTGGTGTGATTGACAAGGAGAAGGTCATTCAGGAGGTCAATGAGCTCATCGCGTGGCAGGAGGCCAGGAAGAAGTGGCACCACGACAAGACGCGACAGAAGATGGCGGCCGAGGGCGGAGGCCAGGGCCAGGCGGACCTCATCCCCGGAGGCGCCTTCAAGTCTTCCGACTTTGGGCTCGACCAGATGGATCTCGAGGACATGGCGTACGACGACGACACGGAGGACGAAGAGGATGCGGAACAGGAGGATCAACTTGACCCCATAGCAGCAGAACGCCAGCGTCGGGCGAAGAGGCGGGACAGGCTGCGACGCAGCGCCGGCGAGCCGACGAAGCCGCATGTGACGGAAGTGCTCAAGCTGAAGGAGAATTTCCTGGTCATGTTGAGAGAGACGCTGGCCGAGTGAGCGGCAAACAGGCAATAGACTCGGAGGGTTGAATGAGTAATGCAGAATTATATCCAGGCTATCCGGTCTCAACACCAAGCAAGCATTCTACAAGCGAGCTCGTAAATGCATTTGTGACACGCTCACTAGACTTGTATGTAGGTTAATCATAGTAAAAAGGCGATTGAGTAGTAGATGCAATATCGAAACAAGTCTGTAGATTTGAATGAGCTCCTGCTTTCGAGGTTCCAGCGAGTTCTCTCGCGGCTCAACCTACATCAAAGAGACTGGACCCAACAAGAAAACCTATAGGACAAGGCATGTTGCTGCTGACGAGAGGCTCGTGACAGGAATCATCTTCGGACATCAGTATGAACACTATATGCATCCATGCCAAAAAAGAAAAAAAAATCACAGGTCGCCTCGGAGTGAAACCACAATACGTCTAAAAACCTTGATTCTCTTGCTTGTACACTTCAACACCAAACCCAATGCGAAAAACCTAAGGTACACGTGCCCCGCCGGCAGCCCAGGCCCACCACGACCACCACGCTACGTCCTCCTCTTGCACGCATCCTCTTCTTTCTTTCATCCTCTGCTCTCTCTCCCCCCCTATCTCTCTCTCGCTCTCGTGGTATCAAGAATGGCCCCCCTAACAGGGTCGGGGATTCCACAGTCTCTGTGTCTCAACAGCCTTTCATGGTTCCTTTCCGACCCATTCGGACGCGAACCGCGCGCATTCCACTTTAGTACACACGCTTGAACGGCGGCACGGCCTTGCACTCGTTCTCGTCGAGCGTCGTGGCGATGACGCGGCGGTAGCCGAGGTCGACCTTGCCGTGGGGCTCCTTCTGGAAGGACAGGGTGTGCTTCATCCAGTTCTCGTCGTCACGGTCGGGGTAGTCCTCGCGGGCGTGGGCGCCACGGGACTCCTTGCGGTTGGCGGCGGAAACGGCGGTTTGGGAGCTACAGCAGAATGTCAGTCAGAATGTTCGGGGTCTTTCCAAGGGCAAAAGATACGTACGCGCAAGTCAGAAGGTTCCTCAGCTCGAGAGTCTCAACAAGGTCGGAGTTCCAGATCATGCTGCGGTCCTTGATGCCGACCTCGGGGAACTGGGCGTCAATGTCCTTCATGAGGCGGACACCCTCGTCCAAGCTCTCCTGTGTCCTGAAGACGGAGACCTCGGTCTGCATCGCCTTCTGCATCGAGAGACGGATCTGGGCGGTTGTCCTAGGACCGTCCGAGTTGCGGACCTGGTCGAGGACCTCGATGTGCTCAGCACCAGCATCAGCCTCCATGGGCTTGAGCTTGGTGCCGGGTGTGAAGTTATCGCGAATGGTGTGAGAGACGGCACGGCCGAAGACGACGAGATCGAGGAGCGAGTTGGCACCGAGACGGTTGGCGCCGTGGACCGACACACAGGCAGCTTCACCGCAGGCGAACAGGCCAGGGACGACCTTGTCGTTGCCGGCCTCGTCAACGGTGAGGACCTCACCAGTGTACTTGGTGGGGATACCGCCCATGTTGTAGTGGACGGTGGGCAGGACGGGGATGGGCTGCTTGGTGACGTCGACACCGGCGAAGATACCGGCCGTCTCGGAAATACCGGGCAGACGCTCGTGCAGGACGTCGGCGGGCAAGTGGCTGAGCTGCAGGAAGATATGGTCCTTGTCGGCACCGACACCACGGCCGTCACGGATCTCCATGGTCATGGAGCGGGACACGACGTCACGCGAGGCAAGATCCTTGGCGGTGGGAGCATAACGCTCCATGAAGCGCTCACCCTCCGAGTTGAGCAGGTAACCACCCTCACCACGAGCACCCTCGGTGATCAGGCAGCCGGCTCCGTAGATACCGGTAGGGTGGAACTGGACGAACTCGAGATCCTGGTTGGGAAGACCGGCACGGGCAACCATGGCCATACCGTCACCGGTACAGGTGTGGGCGGACGTGCAGCTGAAGTAGGCGCGGCCGTATCCACCGGTGGCGAGGACGGTGTGGTTGGCGAGGAAGCGGTGCAGAGTGCCGTCCTCCTGGTTGTAGGCCAGGACACCGCGGCACTCGCCGTCCTGCATGATCAGGTCGAGGGCGAAGTACTCGATAAAGTAGTTCGTGTTGTGGCGGAGAGACTGGCCGTACAGGGTGTGCAGAAGGGCGTGGCCAGTTCGGTCAGCGGCGGCGCAGCAACGGTAGGCCTGGCCACCCTTGCCGTAGTTCTGGGACTGACCACCGAAAGCACGCTGGTAGCTGCGAATTGTCAGCGCTTCTCGTCTTCTTACGCCTCTTGTCCGGCGTCTTTTTTTCTTTTTCACTCACATCTTGCCATCCTCGGTACGCGAGAAGGGGCAGCCGTAGTTTTCAAGCTCGACAATGGACGCGGGAGCTTCCCTCGTCATGTAGTGAATAGCATCCTGGTCACCGAGCCAATCGGAGCCCTTGACGGTGTCGTACATGTGCCATCTCCAGTCGTCCTCGTGCATGTTGCCGAGGGCGGCGTTGATGCCGCCCTGGGCGGCGACGGTGTGGCTTCGGGTAGGGAACAGCTTGGAGATACAGGCTGTGTTGAAGCCAGCCTCGGCGAGACCGAAGGCGGCGCGCAGACCGGAACCACCGGCGCCAACAACGATGGCATCGTACTCGTGGTCCTGGGGAAGAAGAGTCAGCTGTCGTGTGTCGATGCCGGAACGCGGGTGTCGGGCGATCGAAACATACAATGACGGCGTACTTGTTGCTCACGAAGGGAGATGCCTCCTTGGCGCGCAGAGGGCCATTGGCGAAAACCCGAGCTGTTCACAGAAACTTGTCAGTCGGACTTCTTGGCTGCTTCCTGGGCAGTGGGAGGGACATACCGGCAGGCCTTGTGGAGGAGAAGGCTCTCGTCTGAAGTCTGGAGGCGCGCGAAAACTGTACCTCGGGTCAGCGAAAGCCAGAGAAGGTGCGATCTCGTGTCGGGGCACGTACGGAGGGCGCGGCGGCCAGTCTCCTCATTGCCATGGAGGATGCCATGATCGTCAATTGGATGTAGTCTCTGTCCTACGAAGCGGTTGGTGATGAGAATGCTCTGGACAATGATTTCGAGACGTGCATTGAAGGCGAACAGTGGCAGCTCTCGGTCGCCCTCGGCCGGGTTGGCTCGACCCTGCCGACCAATCACAGAATTTGTGATTAGCTCAGTAGCCGGTCCATTGCCGATGCGCCACGTCTGCCGAGCCACTTCCGACGCACTTCAGCCACATTCTTCTCGGTCCATGACAACTAGACTTCACATGTTGCCCCCCCCCCCCTCCTCTCCTCTCTCTCCTAAGCAGGATTTCATTTACCCCTTCTTCCGGTGGTCCACTTGCTATTTTGTCCGCACTTGTGTGCGCCATCTGAGCCAGCAGTGCCTCGTGACTCTCTCTGAATGTTGAATGCCTAGTCTGCCGAGGTACACCCCATCGTCTTGCCTCAGCATAACATCATCTTCTGTGCCATTGTCAAATCTAGGAAACAGACATAGTGTGGACGGCAGCTTTTACTGTAGATTTCTGCGCTGCACGCAATGCAATTGCAGTGCTCTACATCGAAGGATCATCGCTGCCAAGCTTGAACCCAAAATCTTGGGAGACCATCGGTGCCGGCCATGACTAGCCTGCCAGGTTTCCCGTGATCGGGGGTCCCTGATACGGATCGGTGGCGTCTACATTCTGCTGACGGTTTTTACGTGAGCAGACGAATATGAAAAGAAAAATTGACTCGAGTTGTACAACGACTCTGTAATTCCGAAGCCCGCGATTTCCTATGACATATGACACATAAACATGGTCTACGGCACCGACAGACTTTCAGCAGACAACGAAGTCGGCATGCCAAGTCGATGTCGCAAATCACCATTCACTGTGGCTCAAGGTCTCGAGTGTCGGTCGATCTTTAAGGATGCAAACCACTCGATGCAATCGAGATCAAACCACCAGGCGACACGAGGTGTATCATCTTTCATGTGCAATACCAGGCTGGGCGAAGCACGAACAGGGTATCATTCATTCATCATCTCTCATCTAGTCTACCTCGTTCGCTGTGCCCAGGCACACCCCACCAGCTTCAACGCGTCGCCATGCTTCAATGCTGAGCATACAAGTTCTGCAGCCCTGCCTTCATATCCGTCAGCGAAGCCCTCATAGCTTTGTTCTTGTTCTCCAGCGCCACGATCCTTTCCTGCAGCTGCGCGGCCCTCTCATCCTTGGCCTTCAGCTGGCCCCGGACGGCATCGCGCCCCTTGATCAAGCCGCGCGTGCGCGCAGCGTGTCGGTCGAGCGTGTTCCTGAGCGAAAGCGTGAGGGCGGGGGGTAGATGCTGGTCCCTGAGCAGCGCCATGACCGCTTCCGTGATCTCAACGTCGGCGTCGCCGTGGGTGGCGGGACTGCTCTGCAGGGCGTCACGGGTGCGCGAGGTCGCAGGTGTTTGTTGCGGGGTTTCGAGGCCGGGAGACATGGTGTCCAGGTCGTCATTCGACGTTTTGAGGCGCTTGAGACTGGGGCCGGGGAAGAGAATGCGGGCCGTGGCCGGGGTAGGCATGCCGTTGAGAAGATCCGTGGTACGCTCGGTTGCAGGGGTAAGGAAGCTCTGGGCTTGAAGGTTGTTGTCGCGGAGTTTCTGAGAGCTCCGCGTCACGGCGTCGTTGAGCTGCCGTTCCTCATCGGAGGAGAGGTCGCCGATCAGGTCTTCTTCCTCGTTGACTTGGTTCCTCTTGCGTTTGTTCGCCGTCAATGGGGCCTGCTTGGAGGCAGCAGGGCCCGCCGGCATTCGGACCACATTGTCCTCCTCAGACGATATGTCGATGGCAGCTCGCACTGCCGCCTTGGCGGTCTCGTTCCTGGGTGA